AAATATTTGACAGTTTAGATATTCCTCAGTAACCTGTATATCATCTTGTGTATTTAGAGAGAATTAGGTATGTGTAATCTTTCTCCTACGGAACCTGTAAGAGACAGATTCTGAAACAACTGACTTACAATATACATTGATCAGGACTCACACAGACAAAGAGTCATTCCACTGGATGGTTTTAGATCAACTTGACAAGCTAGAGTCATCTGAAAGCATGGAACCTCAATTGAGAAAATGTCTCCATAAGATATGGATGTAGGCAAGCTGTAGGGCAGTGGGTCTCAAATGCCCTAATGCTTTAGTCCTTTAATACAGTTCCTCATGTTGTGGTGACCCCCAACCATAAAATTATTTTCGTTGCTACTTTATAACTGTAATTTTACTACAGTTGTGAATCATAATGTAAATAGTTTTGGAGATAGAGGTTTGCCAAAGGGGATTCAATACACAAGTTGATGACTACTGATATAGGAGATTTTCTTAATTTTGTGATGATGTGGAAAGGCCCAGGCCATTGTTGGTGGAGCCATCCCTCAGCAGGTGGTCCTGGGTTCTATAAAAGAAAGCAGGGTGAACAAACCATAGGTAGCAAGCCAATAAGCAGCTCCACTCCATAGTCTCTGCATCAGCTCCTGCCTTCAGGTTCTCATCCTGTTTAAGTTCCTGCCCTGATCTTTTAGTGATGAATTATGAATGTGTCCATAGTCCCTTTCCTCCTCAACTTTGGGTCATGGTGTTTCATTATAGGAAAAGTAACCCAAACTAAGACAGAAATCGGTACTAGAAGTAGGGTATTGCTATAAGAGACCTGGCCATGTTTTGGGGAGAACTGTGGAAGGACTTTGGGACTTTGGGCTAGAAAAGCTATTGAGTGTTTAGAACTCAGTGGGAGGTTTGTAGAAGCCTGGAAGATAAGAATGTTGAAAGCAGAGAGGACAAAAAGGGCTGGCCTGTGAAGTTTCAGAGTGAAGCCAAGACTCCACAGGGCCATGCTTATGAAGAATCTGTATCTGGTCAGCTGAGACTGGAGTCAGCCATGATTAAAAAGAGATCGACACCTTTGAAGGGAAACCTTGGAGTTACTGGAACAATTAATGCTGAGAAATTAGCAGAGACCAGTGTCATTGAGGTGAAATCTGCTGTTTTCTTAGAGTTAGCACACTGAAGCTGTGTTTCAGAAGCCACCCAACGTGGTAGTATAAGAATCACCCATCTGGTACTGGTTTTGAAAGCACGAAGGGATCATGGAGAGCAGCTGAGGCTCTGCACTGTGAGAGGCCATCAGTGAACATGCATCCAGAGAGCAGTGGAAGCCTCAGGACTGAAGGGGTTGTGGAGAAAAGTTGAGACTTTGCATCATAATGACAGCACAGGAGAGGCTATTAGTTAAGTGGTCACAGAAGACCATAGCATTTTGGAGGTGCCAGAACCATGGGACAACCTCCAAGAACAGCAGAAATGGTGGAGTGCAGCCTATCCAAGTTAAGAAGAAGACAAGCTATGTGTGCTGTAGAGGGCAGAGCCTATGCAGGCTCCCTGGTTGTCAGTGAGCCTGTGAGCCCAGGTTAGTTGATTCTGTGAGTTTTCTTGTGGTATCCTTCACATTCCTGGCTCCTACAACCCCCTTTCCTTTCCTCCTGCAGGATTCTCTAAACCCTCCCTAATATTGGCTGTGGGTCTTCATCTTTTTCCATCAGCTGCTGGGTGAAGTCTCTCTGATGACAAATGGCCTAGGCACCAATCTGTTCTCAAGAGATGGCCAGTTCAGTCTACATATCTGCTATTGTTAACAGTCTTAGCTAAGGTCATCTGTGTAGATTCCTAGATTTTCTTGCACCATACTTCCTAGGGCTCTCTCACTGACTCCTAAACCCTCCCCCTTTCTAAAAGTCTCTTTCATTACGGTCCCTCTCCACCACCCCCCCCCACACACACACACAACCTGATCAAACATGTTCCCATCCCCACCTGACCTCAGTCCACTCATGAAATCTCTTTTATTTCCCCTTCCCAGGGAGATCTGGGCATCTTGTCCATGAACCTTCCTTGTCACCTAGACTCTCTGGGTCTGTGGATTGTAGGATAGTTATCCTTTATTTTACAGCTAATAACCACTTATGAGTGAGTACATACCATGTTTGTCTTTCTCTGTCTGGGTTACCTCAGTTGGAATGATTTTTTCCTGGTGTCCTTATTTTTCCACAGCTAATACTCCACTGTGTAAATGTATACTACATTTTCTTTATCCGTTCCTTGATTGGGGGACATTTAAGTTGTTTCCAGGTCCTGGCTATTACAAATACAACCGCTGTGAACATAGATGAGCAAGTGTCCTTGTGGTATAACTGAGCATCCTTTGGGTATATGCCCAAGAGTGGTATACCTGAATCTTGTGGTAGATTCCCAGTTTAGAGAGAAACCATCACAATAACTGCCAACATGATGATACAAGCTTGCATTCTGACAAGAGATGGAAAAGTGCTCCTCATGGTCCACATCCTCTCTAGCATGAGCTGATGCTTGTGGTTTTTATCTTAGCCATTCTAACAGGTGTAAGATGGAATCTCAGAGTTATTTTGGTTTGCAGTTCCCTGATGGCTAAGGATGTTGAACATATCCTTAAGTGTTTCTTGGCCATTTGAGATTCTTCTGTTAAGAATTATCCATTTAGAGCTATACCCCATTTTTAATTACATTATTAGATTTGTTGAGAACTAGTTTCTTGAGTTCTTTATATATTTTGGAAATTAGCCCTAGAACAGCAGCCTACAGGTGGGAAAATATTTTTAACATACCTTCCATCACTGTAAGATGACTATAATAATACAGATAGTTCTTTCCTAAAAATCAAATGATTGCTATTAAATAAATTAAACACATTTCTTCCACCTAAAAAAGAAACAGCAAATATTTACATAGCTCTTTGAATTACACATATTTATAACATGTACAAAATATTACTTTCGGAAAAAAGTTACAAAGTTTCCATGATTAAATTTGTTCTGCATTTTCTCTACATGTTTATTTCTTTCTGTTTATTTTTCCTAAAATTCTTTAGTAGAAGATGAAACTATTGATCATTGAGAACTGTGAGTTACAGTACATCCAGGGAAAGAAATGCTTCATGGATAAAAATTCAGTCTCAGATAATGGGAATTAAAACAGGAAATGTTCTAAATAGGATAGTCACAGAACATCTGATTATAGCAGGGACAATAAGCAAAAAATCAGGATCAGACAGGTATTATCCATAGCCCCAAATAAGTTATTTTCTAACAGCATCTACAACATTGTTAGTGCTTTGAACACAGGAAAAATAAACTATGTAAACTGATCTCTATAATATGGGCTTTCATAATTTATAAGATTATTGTAATAAGGTTATTTTTATTTAATAGACTTCTATACTCAAACTTATAATCCCTGTGGAGTGGGGAATGGGACGGGAGGGGGGGTTTGGACCATGGAAGGGAGGGAGTGGGGGGAGGGAGAGGGAACTGGGATGGATATTTAAAATAAGAAAAATAATAATAAATTTATATATCAAAAAACTTTCACATTTAAAGTAAAGAGCAAGCTCCTAGTTTTTTTTATTTTTAAAGTTTTTAAAAACTTTATCTTTTAAAATTGATACTTAATGTATAGTAACTTAGCAATAAGCTTTAATAATTAAATTTTATATAATTAAAATTTATATTCTGGAGTTGTAGCTCAGTGGTAGAGCACTTGCCTGACATTTAAAAGCACCAAGTTCAATCCTCAGTAATAAAAAAAAAAAATAGGAAAGAATAAAAGATTTGTATTCTATTTTCTTAACACTAACATGAAGTCATTTAAATAAAGTTCAACATCAATCGGATTATATAGTGAATGCATAGTTATTGTAAGTGCCTAAGAAAGTATTCTATCCCTATCAAACATAACTTCCTCTCATTGTTTAACGTAATTTAGATATTAGGATAATAGCATTTAATGCAAGCATACATATTTCGCTTAATGTTGCATTATATACTGGGGTACATTAAGTATATAAAACACCTCCAGAAAGCATCTAGCCTCCAAAGCAACACCAAATATTTAAAAAACAAGAAAAACAAAATTGTATTTCATTGAAGACCTTCATCTTTTATTTTTTCGCTCAATTTTGATCACCCCGCTGCCAATCAGCAAAATAGGCACAACAAATTTTGGAGGGGTTACATTCCAGAAATGTGTGTGGATTGTGTGGGATACAAATATTGCAATTAAAGTGCTTTCTTGAGTTAAAATGTCCAGAGACAATGAGCATCATCTCCTCAACAATAGCAGAGGTATAGAGAGGCCAGGCATTGCAGTAAGTGTTCCTGATAAATACTAAATTCTGCAAGGGAATTGCATATAGAAAGAAAGGGTGGGCAGGTAAATATATTTTGAGGGAAAGATTTTTTTCTCCAAAAAAAAAAAAAAAAAAAAAAAAAAAAAGCATATGAATTCCCACAGCAACAGAAACAAGCACCCAATGTTCTGGAGGCTTTCTTGGACTACTGAGGTGACTTCATAGAAATCACTGACCACCAGGTAGATATTTATATCTCCTTATAGTGCAATTATAAAAGCATTTCCTCTCATTTATTGAGCAATTGCAACACTTGGTACCCAAATATTCTATAAAGCAGTACTTTGATCATTGTTAACATTTATTGAAAATAATTATTTTGTTTTATGAACAATAATAAGTTGTTTCACCATGCAGTCTAAGCCATGTAATCTCTGATGGTTCCAAATGTTGACTATTTTCTGTCAATTGCCTTCCAACTTTGGTACACTGTTTATGGAAACAGTTCACAAAATGAGACACACACACACACACAAAAAAAATCTTCTAACAAACACTAAGTCTCTGAGCTAACCATTCTTGAGGAAATGTATTAGTATAACTAAGAAATGGTCATTTTCATTTATATCCTTCTGAATTTCTGTAGATGGCAAAATAATTGGCCTATTCATCATGCATGGTATTTAAGCTTAAAAATATGTAATATCCACTAATTAGCTTAAAACTATGAATTACAGTTTAGAATCTCTGTAACAGCATTAGCATTTGGATTTGCTTCACTTAAGTTTACAACAACATATACAACCCAGAAACTTAAATGAAGCTTTCTTCAATGAAGATTTAAAGATTATGACCCTTTAAATATCTTTAGAGATAAGAAATGGGTCTTTCAGACAATAAACACCATTTCATTTGATAATGACCACCATGGTTTGGCGATATCTATAGTTTTATTTGATTTCTCAAATACTCCTTATTTTTTCCTCTGTCTTGAGTGGAACACCAGGTGAATTCTCTCAATGACAGCAGTGTTGGTAGGGATGGACTTGTCCAAACTCTGAAGCATGGATTTTCTTTCATGTCACTTTCTGTGACACCTTTCTCTCTTCCCCCACATTCTCCAAACTCTCTGCTCTCAGACTCTTACCTTTCTATATTCTACGGCTTACAATCACTGATCTCTTTTCCTGTATTCATTTTTTTAATTCACAAATGTATACATTAAAATAATTCTCAAAAGGAAGAAAAAAAATCATCAAAAGCATTATTTCTTACTGGAGCATCTCATTTCAAAGAAGACTAAGCCTGGTAGATGGCAAGAATTCTCTATGAATTTGAGAGGAATTTATTTGAAACTAGAGAGGGAAGAGACACATTTCAGACCCATCTCATCCCTGGCTATTCCTTTACATGTATTCTTTTTAATTATAATGATGCTTCAGCATACTCACTTGTTAGCTGGTTAATGAGCGATGTCTGTGTAGTCAATGCTAGAAATAACTCAACTTCTAGGTCCCTTTCATCCTTCTTTTTAACACTTGGAATTCCCAAGTTATACTTCAGCACCATGCCTGTTTTATATAGGAGAACCCATAACTGACTTAAGTCATTTCATCCTTTATGGCAATTCTGTTTTCTTACTAATAAGTGAACAACCAACTTTGTTTCTTGTGTTTGACCACTAAACTTTCCACCAAGTGTCACTGACAACCATCATGAGAGAATCTGAGTCATCGTGAGAATTGGACCAGTATTATGTAAGTGGAACCAACGCTGTAGGTAGGATCCAGAGACAAGTTTCTGCCCACCATTAATTTCAAATACAACAAGAAAACTTCATGGTGTTTCATCTTTTCTAGACAGTTCTGTTGCACAACTCGACAAGTTTTCTTGTACATAAGAGCTAATTAGATTTGGATTTTCAAATGCATCTCTCGTAAGAATGTTCTCAGGTTATTAAATATTTCTTTATAGCAAATGAAATAAATTCAACCAACTTTTATCAAGGTAGATACTGGTGGTGAAAAGATGACTATAAATTCATGCCATACAAGTCATCACTGAGCACTGATGTGCTCAGGACGGAAATGGTTTAGAATCTTGGTTTTGGTCTTCGAGAGAAGGTTGGATAGTTCACATAAATGTCCTCTTTGTCATCATCTATAGAGTGGATGGGAGAAGTGGGGCTCCTGCAGTTGGTGGCTACCTACAAAATAAATAGCAGAACATTGAGTGGCTCACTGAATTTCACCATCCAATGAAGGCATTCTATAAGACCCTCAAAATACTCTTAGTTAAATTTCCATTACAAACAATTCAATGAAATATTCCCCATATTATAAAAACTTAATTTAGAAATTACATTCTCAATTATAAGACTGGAATAGATGCTAGATAAATTTAAGACAGATTTATCGTGTTCAGTATTATGACTTCAAAGATAAGATGTACTATACCTATGCAAGGTCTACTAATTTCCCCATACTGTGTTCACAACATTTGAATAATGGAGCAATGACAATCAACTTACCTTACTCTGTTTATCTCTGGGCTCTTTAAGTGGTGTTCTCACCTGTCTCCTTCTCCTTCTAGAATACAAATTCAGCAAAGACTATCAAGACCCTTGCACTAGTTATCCCTACTGCTGAAATCCTTGCTGTGTCCCAAGCCAGTATGTACCTAGTAAATAAGTAGTGGTTATAAATAGCTGCTTTATGTCTGCACTTTCTATTGTGATGGTTTAAATGTCAGATTGACTAGATTTAAAGTCATGATGGAGATGTATTTGTGGTGTGATTTTTGTTTCCAGACTTTTTTTACCTTAAGAAAGAAGACTCATGCTGTATATAAGCATCACCATCCAACTGGTTGGGATCAAAGGCTCAATAACAAGAAAATACATTAGGAATCACTTTCTTCTGCTGCTTCCTGACTGAATACAGCATGGCCAGATGACACATACTGTTGCTTCTATGACCTCCAAACTATGAGTCAAAATTAATCTGTTCTTCCTTGGTGTTGCTTTTCTGGGAATTTGTCACAGCAATGAAAAGAATAGCATACTTACCTTCCGCAGTGTGCTTGTAGATGGAAAGGACTGCTACATGTTATTTTACTCACAGTGGTTTTACAAGATACTATATAATGGATTAGTATTAAAGCAGCTTTTGGACTTAGAGGTTTTCTACAATTAAAACTTCTTTAAAATGACAATACTGTAATTTATTAGATGACAAAAATAATTGACTCAAGTTTCATAAAATCTCCTGGGTCTTGTAAATTACCTGGATTCATTATTTTATTTAGAGTTCATCAGTGCTCTAATAGATAAGGAAAGTGCTCAGAGGGGAATAGCAACTTTCCTGGCATCTCATGGTTGGTTAGTAGTAGTACTGAAGTTAAAGCCATGGCCCTCCCACCTAACTCCAAGCTTCCCCACTCTGAGTCACCTGGACAAACAGACTATTCAGAGATGCCGTGGGCAACACACTCACCTAAGAAAACCAGAGTTATGGTAGGAATCTCAAAAGAATAAATACAAGAGAAACGAAAAAGATGATACTATAATTGAATGTATAGAAAGAAATAACAGCCAAGAATAGTGAAAGAGCTGTCATGGATTTACCATGACTCTCTTTGTCACCTCTTTCCAGACAAGATTCTACCTGAACTAAACCAAAAATAGATTAAACACAAGAAGTGAGAAGGTTTTTATTTTATTTCTCAATTTTTTTTTTTTTTGTTTAAAGATACAATTTTGGCTCTTCTGTAGAAAATTTGAAAGCAGGGTATTCTTTCTACAAAGAAAAGTGGCTAAGCAATGGCTATGGCCTGTAGTGAGTATTTGAAATTGCTTGTAAGTAGCCCTACTGCCTCAACATAATCTTATCTCTTTAAGTACATTTATTTGGTTTCTGTTATTTAAGAAATTAGTCCTCTATTTATTTACTCATTTTATCTGTAAATGTATGATGCATAAATGATATTTTCCTAAGCTTATGAAAGTCAATTCTTATTTATTCTTTAAGAAAACATGTGATATGGCTCTTACTGGATGGATCGATACCTCTGGCCAGTAAAATTGTCATTTATAAGAAATGATTGTGTGTGTGTGTGTGTGTGTGTGTGTGTGTGTGTGTGTGTGTGTGTGTTTGTATGTCTGTGTGTCTATGTGTCTGAGTATGTCTCTGTGTGTATGTCTGTGTCCCTATATGCATACGTGTGTATCTCTGTGTGTATGTATTTGTACATGTCTGTCTGTGTATGTTTACTTATATTTATATTAGACTAGAACATACAATGTGGTGAACAAAAGATAACTTGATTTAGATCTCAAAGCTCTTTATGTGACTTGTGTTGTGCTATTTGCTAGACAAGAGATCAGTATCTCTTAGTATCAGTCCTCTTATCCTTACAATGTAGTTAGTACACAGACCAAAGTTTATATTGTGTTGAACAGTTGCCCTTGTTTGCTTAAGTGTAAGGAACTTCCCAGTATGTGACCATTTTTCCACGCTAAAAGGAGCATATCAAGACATTACATAATTTGCACATCTCTACCAGATGTACAAACAAGCGACACTTTCCTCACTTAAATATTAATATCACCTTACAAAGACAGCTGTCCACCTCAAGCATAAACTTTGGTTCCTCTCATTCTGAGCAGCACTCTGTACTTCTCCTGGTCATGTTCACTCACTATTGTCATCGTTTTCATCTCCACATGTGACAAGTGCAAACCAGAAGCAAAGGAATTGCTTCTCAAGTTATCAGAATCACAGGTGACTAGGTGCCAAGGGTAAAGGCAGGATTTGCTTAGACTCCTGTCCAGCTCAGCACATCTGAAGCTGCGGCATTATTCTAGACAGTAAGACGCAGGGTTCTGGGTCATTGCTATAACCCTCAGGTCAGTTTTCAGAGCATGTCCATTTGATGTAGCAAACAAAACAGACCTGTGGCAAGGTAGGATGAACATGTGGCCTTTCTTTTGTGCTTTTCACCTACTATTACACAGTCAAGCCTACTAATCCTTTATAACATTTAACCAGGTGATCCTATGTGCTCTTTGGTTCAGTTTAGTTGTTCAGGTAAAAGTAATGCATTTTCATGAAGCAAAACCTAGCATGTCCAACATCTGTGACCCTCCAGAGGTCCCTTCTGCCACTCATAGTTCCATTTGTGCTGCCAGTCCCTGTGTACTCCTTCTGCGGTCTCTGCCCTTTGCATTTTACATAAACCAAGGTGGAGCAGTATGGAATTTTCTGATACTAACACTTGGGGGGTCTTTACCTCAACTTGGTAATTTCTGGGGAAAGGCAAAACTTTCCTGTATTTCAAAGTGCTTGTACAGATACTTATTGAACATGCACTATTTAGACATATTAGTGCTAAATACAATAAAACAATGACATCCTTGAATTATGATTATCATGAATGTAAAGGGATGGAAATCACAAGAAGAATTAAAATACAAAAAGTAAGATCCAAGAAATGGCAGATCAGGAGGGCAAGGTATTCCAGATAGTGACATCATGTCTATTTGAAGGAAAATCAAAAGAGGATGTGTCTTTGGCATGGAGAAAAAAGATAAATGTCTTGCATGCTGAATGAAGCACAAGACTGAGGCCAAAATAGAGAAACTATTTTCATAGCCAAATTCTTCTCCTTTAAGAAGTGAGTTGAACATGTATGTACATATATATACACACATACACATATATATGTTCCAATTTTTTACAAAATTAATCAACACTAGGGAGAGTAGTAATGTGGAAAATATAAATGAAGATACTGAAGTCAAGAAGCAAGGTACCTTCAATGGCTTGGTTAATGAGTTCTACAATTATTCTGGTGTCTGGGGAGAAGATAATACAAGTGTCAATCAGGGGAATGGCATCACTAACCTATTTTCAAAATAAGCAGGTAAAATCAATAGGTTAGAAGAAGAAAGTATCAGAGAGCAAAGAGGGAGGTGAAAGGAGTTATTAAAATCAAGGGACAGTAAAAGAGGTAGGGGTCAGGGATAACATATGGAGACAAGACATATAAACCTGCTGGAGAACCATATTAATAAGTGTGTGTGTGTGTGTGTGTGTGTGTGTGTGTGTGTGAGTGTGTTTTAATATTATCAGCACGAGAAGAATGAAACTCTATTTATCAAAATAACCATATTAAGTGCCTGTGCTTTTCCAGACATGCAAAAAAAAAAAAAAAAAAAAAAAAAAATCAGTGTTCAAAGAGTGGGCCTTTCCTCATTTGAGCAGGGAACACTTCAGCTGGAACATAGTATAAGTTATCTGATACAATTAAAGTTAAGGAGTATGAGAAACACAAGACAAATCAGTAGTGATCACAGAAGAACTAGAAAGGAAAGAAAGTTCCAACTAAGAAAAGTTTAGAATTTTTCTCTATGTGAAAATACAGTAAAAACTGAAGCTTCAGTAGAGCCTGAACCTCTCTCTAAGGCCCTTCCAGCTCCTAGCTAAGTCATTCCATTTAATGTCTCTAGATAGATGGCTTGTTTCAGAAACTATCAAATCATTCATCCTGTTGATATATAAGCCTCCTTACCTCTTATTTGCCACTCTGCATTATAAAAAAGTAAAACTTTAGGCCTCCTCTCCCGGTTTCTTCCTCCCTCTCTGTTGCCCACTCCAGCTCCCTCATACAAAACCTTCTCAACTGACAGCTAATACCATGGTGGAGGAGAAAGGGAAAGATGTAGGTAGAACAAAGGAATTTACTAGACTACGAGGGCACACTGCCGATTCTACTAATTCTTAAGTGAATGATTCCAGCTTTTGTCTATAGTATTACTGTCCCTGCTTCTTGTTGCTTAAGATCAATAATTTCATATGTATGTACACACACACACACACACACACACACAGACACAGACACACACACTGACACATGACTCCTGAGTCAGCTTGGAAAGCTGTTGGGTCATTCATAGAGAACCTTAAATATCAGAATTAGTCAAGACAAATAAGACTCAGGCTAAGTTGCTTTACTCACCTGTTATAAAAAATGATGATTATGATAATTAGGATAATAAGCAATAGTGAAACTGACCCTCCAGCAATGAGAAGGATAAAATGTTTATTGGTTCCACCTAGAAGAAAAAAAAGTAGTGTATGAATTAGTAATTTAATTAAGGCCACAAAAAAAAAAAAAAAAGTGGGAAAAAGAAGAAAGGATCCATTAACCATGAAAGGGTAACAATCAAACTCAAAGAACCTAATAACAACAGGATAGGTTAAGAGGGAAAAGCAGTTTTTCCTTGAGAGATTTCTTAATTATTACTATTACAGGTTTTTATTACTTCCTTGACTAAGCTGAGTTCAACAACAAGAACAGGAATACAAGGCTGAAAAGATGGCTCACTTGTTACTGCTCTTGTAGAGGCATCAAAACAGTGGCTCACAATTTCCTGTAACAGCTGCACCTAAGAATCTGGCACTTTGGCTTCCAAAGGCAAGTATGCTCACAGTTATATACATCACACAGACATGTACATGTAAATGTAATTAGAGTAACAAAAGTAGATCTTAAAAAAGAACAATCATGTTAATAGCACCCATTGAACACGTATGCTCTTCATTATCATATAAAAAAAAGTCAGTACAGAAGTAAGCAGATCCTTGGGCTGAATTGGCAACCCCAGGACAGTAAGCGGCCAAGACTCCAAAAAACAAGGAATGAAGAGCTCCCTATGAGCAGCAATTGATGTTGGCCTTTGACCTTCACGTGCACATGTAAGCAGGTGCCCTTTCACAGATATAACTATGCACACTCATGAGTTCCCGCACAGACAAATTCAGAATATACTTTTCTCTTGCTTTTTTTTTGTTTTTTCCAAATTTTCTAAATCATATGTTGCTCTTTGAATCAGAAAAATCTATGAATGAGTATGAGTTTATATGCTTAAAACAGAATGCTTTGTTGAATTTCAGTAGTTACATTTAAAGGACAAAATTTGGAGGGGGGGCTCCCTTTCAAAGTATGTTCAGAATCATTAAGAGTTAAGATCATGTTTTTTGTTGTGTTCAATTATATGACTTTAGACTATTTATATCAGAGTTCTCACATATAAATCCTACTTCAAATGCTTCAGCTTGAACTGTGTTTCCCATGACCAATCTCTGTCAATGAATCTGACCATTAGTGTCAGGTCATTCTGTTCAGTGTCTAAATGCTTGCAGTCTCTCGGTGTACTGGATAACTGACACTACAGAGGGTGACAGATGAACACTTGCTTTATACCCGATTTCGTGGAACTTGTATTGCTTTGAAAAGCCCCACATGTTTTCCCTCCAGAAGTGGGTGTCCAGAGCAGTGCAACCTAGGGTCGCCGCTGTTTCCCCTCATTTTCCTGCCTCCTTTATATGTAGCTGTTGTGGGAATGGTCAGAGTACTGCAAGCATGGACCCCACCTCCATAAGACCCGTGTGGATGGAAAAACAGAAAGCAAACAGGATGGCTTGGGGAGCTAGTCAACAGGTCATATCATTCACTTTCCCCCTTAAGTTCTGCTGATAGATCTGTGGTTGAATAATGCCAGCCCTCAAACCTTTCTCTTCAAGAAAGAATTATTGTCTGTTCTCGGTGGTCCCTTTCTTAGGGCTTTCTTCATGTATCCCAGTGCTGTATTGATTCATAGGAGGATAAAACTGTCTTGAACTATGAAGCCATTATTTTTCCTCCTGTCACAAAGGATAAATGCAGTTAAAACAATTTCAAGCAAGTCAGTGAAATTTATAAATGAATAATTTTCTCTGGGCCTGTGACCCTCCAGGGTAAGTTTCTGCCAGGCAAGTATTTATGACTGAGTTATAAACCTTTAGAGAAGACTCATGATAGAAATGCCACTAGATCTTTCCTGCAGCACTAGGCAAGCACGGCCGTTGGCGCTGCCCACTGTTTGTCTTCATTAAAGATCCAGGTGGGTTGGGGGTGAAGGAACCAAATAATGAAGAACCTGGATAATGAACCAAGTGTGCTGGGTCATGCCTTTGACCTCAGCATTTTTGGAGTTGGATGCCTGAATTATGAAAAGTTTCAGTGTGGCCAGGGCTACATAGCAAGCTTGAGGTCAGCCTGGGCTGCATGAGACCATTTTAGAAATGTTTGTTTGGGGGGGAGGGGGGCTGGTTTGTTGTTTGTGTTTGGTTTTGGGTTTTGGTTTATCTTTTAAATTTTATTTTGTGGGATAGGTTGCCAGGGCAGAGGGCAGAAAGAAAGGGACAGGAAGATGAATGGGATCAGGATGCATGGTATGAAATCCTCAAAGAATCAATAAAAAGCTGAAAAGAAAAGAAACCAACAACCAAATAATCTAACTAACTGGACCATGTGAGGAAGGACACATATTCAGTATCAGATGAAGTATCCTTTTCTTGGCTCATTAAAAAGGGAAGCACAAATGTTAGCCCTTGATCTGTGGACAGGTGAAATATATATACAGTGAGTTTTCATGAAGCAGATATGCATGAGTTCACAGGTTCTTCAATATCAAGTCATTCCACCACTCTCACATTAGACAGAAAAAAATATCTAATCTTAAATTAAATAGCAGCAAACTAAAAGCACAAACATTAAAGACAGATGTGGAACCTATTCCTGGCTTCTGTTTTTCTTTCACTTGAAGAGCTTGTGTAGGACAGTAAATCTCTTTATCTTTGTGGCAAAATGATCATAGAATCAATGCCAAGCTTGCCTTTGGCATTTAAATAAAACATATAGTGAAATTGTAAGTATTTTAGACACTATACAATGTTATTAATTGTACAAATTTATACTCACATTTAAAATTTATATACACAATCCAAATTAGGATGAAATAAGTGAGCCATTTCTATTCATGCTGAAACATCACACTGAAGTATCAAAGACGCTGCTGGCTCCTGTAACTAGTCACCCTTCTAGGCAAAGGGTAGTATTAATCTGTGTGTAGAAGATTATTCTGGACCACTGGAACGTGGTAAAACCAAAATTGTTAAAGCTTGCCTGAAATATTCACTGAGTGGTTACTGGTATTCTGACATTACTCCAGGTTTCTAGGGGTCACCTGTCTGCATAAATTAGTTTTACAATCTTTATATAAATGATTTGTGGTTTCACATGAAGGAAATCCCAGGGAATAAGTGACTTTCTGAGAATTTACCGTGGCACTAACCTCTAAACTAAAGTGATTGGTGAGTGGCAAGGGTACTTAAATCAGTACCTTCGGTGGCTTAAATGAGAACATCCCCTATAGGATCATATCTTAGAATACTTAGTACCCACTTGGTGGGACTGTTTGAGGATTAAAAGGTGAGGCCTTGTTGGAGGAGGGATGTCACTAAGGGTGGGCTTTGAGGCTTCAAAAGCCCATACCATTCACAATTAACTCTCCGTCTCTCTCTCTGTATCTCTCCATCTCTCTCTGTATCTCTCCATCTCTCCCTCTCTGTATCTCTCCATCTCTCCCCCTCTCTCTGTATCTCTTCATCTCTCCCCCTCTCTCTGTATCTCTGTCTCTCCCTCTCTCTGTATCTCTCCATCTCTCCCTCTCTGTCTCTCTCCATCTCTCCCTCTCTCTGTATCTCTCCATCTCTCCCCCTCTCTCTGTATCTCTCTGTCTCTCCCTCTCTCTGTATCTCTCCATCTCTCTCCCCCTCTCTCTGTATCTCTCTGTCTCTCCCTCTCTCTCTGTATCTCTCCATCTCTCTCTCCCTCTATCTGTATCTCTCCATCTCTCCCTCTCTGTCTGTCTCTCTCCGTCTCTCCCTCTCTCTGTCTCTCCGTCTTTCCCTCTCTCTGTATCTCTCCATCTCTCCGTCTCTCTCTCTCTGTCTCTCCCCATCTCTCCCTCTCTCTGTCTCTCTGTCTCTCCCTCTCTCTGTCTCTCCGTCTTTCCCTCTCTCTGTCTCTCCGTCTTTCCCTCTCTCTGTATCTCTCCATCTCTCCGTCTCTCTCTCTGTGTATCTCTCCCTCTCCCTTCCTCCTCCCCCTCTCCTCTTGTGGCTCTTGTATCAACATGGAAGCTCTCAGCTATTGCTCTGGTACCGTGCCTGCCTGTCTGCTGCCTTGATCCTCACAATGATGGTCGTGGCTAAGCCTTTGGAACCATAAGCCCCAGATTAAACGCTTTCTTTTATAAGTTACTCCTGTCATGGTATTTTGTCACGGCAACAGAAAAGTAATTAAGATAGCATCTGAGGCAAAATAAGTGACAAATGTTTTTTGTTTGGTAGTCACTGAGAAAAAAATTTCAAGTCTGAGTCATTAGGTACTTTATCTTCCTGACCAAACAGTCTTACTCTCATATTACTTGCATGTTTGCTTCAAATGTTACAAACATTAATTTACTGCATCATAAGTTAGAATGTCACAAACTGCACTAGTCTCACTCACTTTTTAGTGGCACAGTTTGGGGAAAATAATTCATGGCATACATCCTGTAACTAGGCTTAACTTCCTAAGAGCCCATCCAGCGATAACTTCATTAGTTGATTAGCCCACTGATGAAACAGGTGCAAACATAACCCAGTCCCCCCTCGGCAGTGCCGCCAACAGTGTAGCGAGGGACCAAACATCCTATGAGCTCTTTGTGTCGATACTTCAGACACCACAGATTTCCCCCACAAAAATGGAAAATTTGACATTGGGGACTTTATGACACCCCTGAAAGCATGCTTTGCTGTGTTTAAATGGTACATATACTAATGTGGGTACTTCTGAACCTTTTCTTTTTCTGTGATGTCAGTCAGCCCTTCTGATGTCCCCAGGAACCATTTTTCTTCACAGACTTTTGCTTTGAATCCATCTGCTCAAAGCCAAGGAGATGGCTGTAAGTGATTAATATGAATGTTTATAAATGTTTTAGGCTGACTAATGAGGGTTTCAGAGTCTCCAAATACAATTGAGAATTGAGAAGTTTTTTCCTTGATGCTGATAGCTTATTTAGCAAGTACATTTGTATTACATTACTTTAAGAATGCATGTGCGTGCACGTATGTGTGTGTGTGTGTGTGTGTGTGTGTGTGTGTGTGAGTGTGTGTGTGTGGTTTGTAAAAGAACTTACATACTTAACATGACCAATTTATTTAGGCAGTAAGTAATTTGAAGTTT